CTCGACAGAGTTGTATCCCCTGGAAAGCACGATACCTTGATTGCTAAATCACTGTACCATGATCTTAAATGTTATCTAGTTCCTACGGTGTTTGAATTTATCGACTACCTTAGCCTGACATCAATTTACAGGCTACAATTTTATTAATATACTATCACACATAAATCGTCCACATGTCTTCCGACTTACCGGCTTATCAACGCGGAGGTATTTTAGACGTTTTAAGTTCGATAAACATTAATTCACTATGAATGAAACCAATCACTATGAGTTTGCTGATGTATAATAAGCATCATGTCATGTATTTTGCGATATGATTAAAATCGTATCTTTTTATTCACTCCCTTCTCGTAAAGTTAACTCAACCACGTTAAGATGATGATGATTTAGCGGAGTGAAGTTTACAAAACGCTGGCGAAGGTCAGTGCATGTTTTTCAGAAGGTTGTGCATGGTCGTGTAGAGAATGAACGAAGGGACGCAACTCTTTTACAGCACAGACCGGCCCGTTATCCCAACTGATAGTAGAATCTAACTTGGCGAAGTGTTCATAGTCTGCATCAGTCAATTGATTGTAATGTCATATGGAACATGGCAAAAGAAAATAGCTGCGTCCGTTTTGTTTATCAGAAGACGTTTACTATTCGAGAACACCTGGTCTGACTGTCCTTGTACTTTTTCATGAGCCTCTTTGAAAATCATTCTTTTACATATGGTATATTTTCGTGATCCTGGTGTAAATCTGAACAAAAATGAGGCCAAACATGGAAAAATCCTTATAATACGTATCATGGACTATCACTTCACCGTAAACCGACTGTCTAGGAATCATGGGTAATTTCCCATTAGGTACCTCTTTGCCATTTTCTTAGATGCTGTATTTCTTGGCGGGAAAAAATAGCGGGAAAATATATATCGCTTTATGGGGAAGAGTTACAAAAAAGTCTCACTGCTATCAAGTTATCTTTCTATATAAAATACATGTACCTATAAGTAAGAATAAACAAAATACTAATTTCAAAATAGTATATATATATCCGGATTTTGAAGTAATTTAATCAGTAATTGATCTAACATCAAATGTTAAATAGTAAATGGGTAGTAAGAAGGATGGGTTGGGTCAACAATTCCATAATAATCCTCCAGACACCCAATAACGCCTCTCTTCAACTTATATTTGTCCCCTTCCAATCTTTTCTGCTTTCTCGCAACCATAACTGTTATTGTGTTACTATGTTTTTTTACGTTCATACTGGGTATCAGCAGTTCAATATCATCATCTTTTCATCGTCACATGCATATAAACTTTTAACATACTCCTGTTCTTTTCTCTGTAGTTCCTAATATGGTAATTGCAATGTATTTTAAAATATTATCAAGTGATTATGACCCCAGTTCCCTTTATCTACGTACTCTGAAGAAATTTCCGTTTTTAGAGTCATACATCTACTTCATGAACGTTGATATTCAGAGCCTCTTGCCAAAAATGACCGGACTTTCACGGTCCTTATCACCACTGTAGATCCGATAAGTTGGATATGGAAGATCGGGGACACGATTGATGCCCCCACCTCAGTTGTTGCACTGAAAGCAAGACCTGTTCTAGAAATGGGACAGACGGATGGATGGAGGGACGGAAAATGATACCGCACTAGAAATCCATTTTTCCATGGTTTTATGCTCAGCTATGTTATTCACGAGTTATTATTACATACAGTGCGCTTTCTTGAGAACAGAGACGTATATACCACGCATACGTTTCTGCTGAGAAGCACGTGATGGATATTGGACATTTTACGGGAAGTCTGGTATAAGAGGAATTGTAATCTTTGTAAGGTGTAGAAAATATTGAGAAGAAACTGTCAGGATAGGGCAAATAGTACAAGTATTTTTTTTTTTTTTTTTTAGTTTAGAAAAATATTTATTCCCTCAGCAATTAATTTGGAGGAGGCTGCCAGGGTTGAGGAGCCCTGGGATCAGCCTCCGTACAGATAAGTGCCATCACGCAGGATGTCTCTCATTCATCATACAAACACACTTCCATGTAGACACTTACATGTAGCCATTAGAAACAATAAATATTTTGGTAAACCTAATATAAATAGACAGACAAACAAGTAGAAATATTTACATAAACAGCAAAACATGGTAAACAAGCAGGACAGACATACAAATAGGTTGTACAAGTGACATTCTAGACAAGAGGTATCAAACAGATAGACTAGACAATAGACATAAAAAAAAACAGTGTAACATAGTACAGTGCTAAAAGAAATGTGATACTTATCTATTTTTATTTTTTTTTAGGAAAGGAACAGGAGTGTTGACTATCATTACTAAGTAAGCAGCTTTTGAGAGAATTATGTGTGAGGATTAGATTCTAATAGAGTTGACCATTTTCTCCAAAAGGTTTTAAATTTCTCGGATTCAATTTGATTTTTCGATATATACGTTTGCACTTTATAAGTTTCCTTAATCTCATTTAAAAGTGCAAGTATAGATAAGCTATTTTTTAAGACATTTTGTTTTATATATATAATATTTAATGATTAAACTTATCAGATTGTCAACTGCATCCTTTGTTTTATCATTGCTTAAGAAACCAAAAAGGAAAGATTTCTTATTTAATATAAAGTTAATACGAAAAATCTGAGACAGTCTCTCAAAGCTAAGTAACAGTCGTCTCACCTCTTGACAATCCCACAAAATGTGTTCAATTGTTTCTCTATTTGTTTTACATAATGAACATAATGAGGTATCAGATAAACCCATTTTAAACAACACAGAGTTGGTAGTCAAAATGTGGTGATTAATTTTATATTGAAACCATTGAAATTTGGTATTTTTAGTGACTTTAAAAGGAAGTATGTAGATTTGTTTCCATGTGTCATCATTAATATCGTAGTTAATCCATTTTAATTTACCTGTGGGTGTGACATTATTTTTACTTAAAACATCATACATGTCTCTGGCTCCCTTCTTACTTTTTAGGATAATTTCTAAACTTAATGGAATATAAGGATATTTTATAGATACATGTTCATTATTTTGTTGGTATTTGTGTAGTGCTTTTGCTATTACTGATGTGATTCCATGATACTTTAGAAAGTTGCACCTAATGTTATATTTATGCTTGAAAACTTCATAAGAAAGACACCTACCATTATCACCAACTATATCATTAATAATCCTTAACCCTTTTTGATACCAATCATTGTAGAATACAGTTTTATGTGCTATTTTTATATCATTATTGAACCATAATGGAGACTTCAAAAAGGATTCATAGTTATTACTACTGCTAGACTGAATTACTTTCAGCCATGATTTTAGTACATCTTTCCAAAATAAATTTTTAGTTTTCTTAATGTTGTCATGAATTAAATCACTTCCACAATTACTAAGTATATTACTGTTTAATTTAGCATGAAGAATATTTCTCCACTTGCCTTTTCCAAAATGTAATCTACGAATCCAAACAGATTTTAGTGAATTTATAAAAGAAATAATATGTATCATTTTTAGTCCCCCATCTAAATATTCTTTAATAACAATGTCTCGTTTAACCTTATCAACTTTACTATTCCATAGGAAATGGTATAATTCTGTGTTAAGAGTCTTGATAAAGGTTTCATCAGGATTTGGAAGTGAAATAAAAAGATGATTTAGTTGAGAGATTACCAAAGTTTTAATTACTGTTAGTCTTCCAATTGGAGTAAGTAGTCTTCTACTCCACATTTTAAGTATACTTTTAATTTTCACAAGTTTTTTATCATAGTTTAATTTTGTTATTTTATGCAAATCTACATCGAAGTCTATCCCTAAAACCGAGAACTGTGTATTTCCCCATTGTAGTCTCCATTCAGGAAAGAAAGTATCATTACTATATTTTTTACTTCCTATCCATATAACCTCAGTTTTTGATTCGTTTATTCTTAACCCTGATAGTTTTGCAAAAAAATCTAACTCCTTCATTGTTTCTTTTAATGATATTTCTGTACCATCAAGAATAACTGTGGTATCATCTGCATATTGAGATAACAAAATTGGTTCCCCATCTATTGATATAGTACAAGTAGTTAATGAGTGTATGGTATTAGGTCTCAACTTTACTTATCACTTATGGTATTAATAAAGTTTGCTAATGTGTATTTAGTTATATGAAAATTAGAACATAGTGTATTATAGACCACGTCAGTGTATAAAACTCACAAATTCACGAAGTCCATGTATGTATTATTGTGAGCCATGGCACTTTTGAAATTAATTAAGATCTGGCACGGGAAAGTGATTCTGTAAGTCCTCTTTGCAATAATGTTTTCTCTCATTTCTGGGAGAGGGGTACCGATATACACCCCATATAATAGTGAGAGAATTCTCGGACTCCCCATAATGTTTTATGCTTTATAAATGGCTACTTCAATTACTTTTCATGTTCTAAAATGAGTTTTGACAATGTTAAACATCTGATGAATGATATCTGATAGTTAAATGCGACTACTGCCAACCAGAAAATGGTCTCCCCACAGCGAAGTAAAACTTGCCAATTTCGCCTAAACTACATTTTGCGCGTGAGATATATATATATATATATATATATATTTCACATTCGCTTTAACCGATTGTTTTTGTTGATGTAATTTAGAACTGATTTTGTATCTAAGATATTACATTATATTACAATGTACTTTTTTGTCTTTTATCTTGAATATACCCGTGTCTTAATTTTGTTTAGGGGCAAGCTCAGCACCATGCCTACTATTAACCTGTAATGGTGCGTGCCTCACAAATTTCCATTCTCTAGAACATACAATACGTACGTCCTGGTCCTATTTATTATTGGACAAATCAACGGTTATTAAAATGTGGGCTTAGCTTTATTAGACATTGGTTCAGGTCAATGTAAGCTATAACAAATAGAGATTTTAGGCGGATAGCAAAATCTCGATCATGCGCAGTGGGATTCGGTGTCGTTTCACTTTTGGCCGTTTGTTTACATCAGTCGTCATTTGGAGGTGATTTCATGCTTAAATCATCATCATTTACGTGTCCTTATTGTCGACGGAACCCCAGATAACCTATAGAAGGTTTGTTAGTTATTGTTCTGCTGAATCAGGCTCATTTTCATTATTATCTTTTAATAACACGAAACCCATTACCTGATTTGACAATCACGTGGCACACCGGTTGGTCTACAAGAATCGGACGTGGTATGTGTGGATATAGCTATCAAACTACATGTTTGTTCTTAAACACCATAAATTTCTTACAAAATAATTGCCAAGATGAAGGAAGTGTAACCGATTATTGCTTAATTATAGTACATTAAGTGATTTTAATACCATACAGTGAATGAATGAGAGTGTGTATGAGCTGTAAGTATATAATTTCTTTTTGGAAAATTAGAATTTTCTCTTCCTATCGAAAATCAAAAGTAAGGATAACAAAATGACCACAACATTTACAAACACACCCAAATATATGAATGATGAATTAAAACATGTTAAAATTCAAACTACACCTGTATGATCCTCAACTAATCACAATAAACTTTTGTCAAATCAAGCTAACTGGGACTGATGAGCTGATAGAAAATTACCAACTAAAACATTAAAAAAATGATTCAATTATTAATGTTCTCTTGTTTATCTATATATTTAACAGGTACATTTTTCAGTTGTAAGAAACCTCTTACTATGTGTGGTATCTGCTGTGTATGTAGTAATGTACAAGATGATCAAACAGTGGATTGGAAGGTAAATATTTTTTCACTTTTTTCATTTCAAACTTTCATAGTATACAGGCTCTTAATGTCATTCTCAAGCAAGGATTTTAGAGTTGTGAAGTGCTGATAGTGATAGGTAGTGAGATGCATTCGCAAAATGATATTAAATATCAAGTAATATGTTTTTATACCTGTCTGTCTGTCATCTCCTCCAAAACTTGTCAACCCATTTTGCTGAAACTTCATAGGAATATTAAGAAATGAATGTAGATGTACCTATATTTTTATTTTGCTTTTTAACCTTCTTTTAAATGTAGTGAGTATATTGCAGGTAAGCCTTTGGATAACAATTCTGTGTTTGGACATAGGAATAATGTTTTAAATGACTGATTAAAAAATTAATGAAAAATCAAGATATAAATATAAATTTGATTTATTTTACAACAATTGCGAAACAAGTTATGTCAACTTATACTAATCACTCTTGTTGGCCTGGATGTAAGCACGCAAGGGGTCTTATTGTGGGAGGAAACCAGAGTGCCCGGGGAAACCCACGTGGTTGGGCAGGTGACCCCTTACCTTTTCACGTCCGTTCCGGAAATCAGCTAGGTGAAAGGCGAGTGCGTTACCACTGCGCCACCCGACCATCCAAAAATCAAGATGGTGTGTTTTTTTTTATGTAATTTGAAAATTGCTATACAGTTGTTACATTATATGGTTTAATTAAATTGTTATACATTGATGATGATGTTGTTCATTTAACAAGATAAGATAAATTAGAAAATGTCTGATTTTTAGCCAACCATCATCAGATGCTATTTCTGAGGAAGTACTGGATGGATACTTCTGATATTTCATAGGCATTGGTTTCCCTTGGTCCCTAGTTGTGCATTGTACTTTTTTTGGACTGATTTGAAATCAAGGTGGCCCACAGACAGCCATCTTGGATGTCGACAGTAATACATCACAAGTAGATTCAAGACTATGTCCATTATCCACCTGTAACTGACTGCTATCTAATAATACTTTGGGATCTTTTTCAAATGATATTTGCCAATAGGTGCTTAGTAAAAATATCTTGTGCCATCATTGAGTACATTCAATGAAGACCAGTTCATGAACATTTACAAAACCTGTAACAAAAAAAATAAAAAAATAAAGAAATCTTCAAGAACTGAAAACAGATCCTCAAATGGTGGGCGCCCAGATCCCACTGGGATCTCTTGTTGTTAGATAATCTCTACACAAACGGTTTTATATTTTTTCAGGATTTTATTGAGAAACATTCCAGAATAGGGAGAAGAGGGCCAGATTGCAGCAGATCTACTCAGGTTGAATCTGGCTGTAAGGGCAGACAGCTCTTTTTACAAGGTCATGTCCTTCACCTCAGAGGTGAACTGACTCCTCAACCATTACAGGATCACCATGGCAACACTCTCCTTTGGAATGGAGAAATATTTGGAGGCCTGGAGGTAGTTTTATTTTCAATTTTTAGGTCTTTCCTCAAATCATTTCATGGTCGCCGCAAAAAACAAAACATAACAAAAAGGTATATTATAGGATCTGTAAGTGGTGAAATTAAACAAAAATTTCTTAAAAAATAAATAGGACTTCCAGCAATAATTCTAACTCCATCTCTCTGATTCTCAAACTTCTAATTAATACTCTGGTACTCATTAGATTGGAGAGGAAGAAAATGACACCGAAGTCCTATTGAGAGAATTGTCTGCCTCTGCTGACCCTTGTAATCTACTGACCACTATGGCCAAAGTCCAGGGCCCATGGGCATTTATGTACTGGGAGGTAAGTGCTGTGTTACAGAGACACAAACTTGTGAAAAATAGATGTTCTTATATCAGAACCAGTAAGATAATTCACATTCATTAGATGAATGACCACTGAAGTGTACAGTGAACAAGATAGGATGTGAACAGATATGGCTTCAGTTTGGCTGTACACAGTCAGTTGATGACAACAATCTGTCAATAGTTAACAGAGACTGTACCAAGTAGAAACAAGTCATTTCAGACATTATATGATACACAGAAATATTATCAGGATACAAAGAAAACTGTATTACTTCTAATAACTGTAAAACTTGAAATCAAGTTTATTGTGTTATGGGAACTTTTCTTTCGACAGGAAAAGACAAAATGTTTGTGGTTTGGACGCGACATGTTTGGGAGACGAAGTCTCCTATGGCACCTCCCACAAAACAGGAAGGAACCATTCATCTTATCATCCACACAGATCGGAGACAAGGTAATTAGGTGGGGTAGCAGCTTTAATAAGAAAGGCAGGGCATTTTTTGGTACCTTCTACAAAATGGATAATAATGCTTACAATTACACTGTTTTTCCACTGTGGACACAAGGTAAGGTGAGATATTAGACGGCGGAATGATATTCAATGGTACGTGTTTAAAAGTTAGAACTCTGCATTTGTAGATGGTGACTTTAGTTAAAATACAGGGACATTTTACAACAAGTATGCATATCAATCAATATCAAGACTTCAACCCATTTATATGTATTCATATATAGTATTGTGTCTTTGTAGTTACATAATAATTCTGTTGACACATTTTTTCTTTCACCCTTCACAAGCGTATTTCCATGTTTTCCCCAAGGAAAAAGACAACACAAATGGACTCTTATGTTACTCACAATTCACAGCTCTGTTCTGTTATCAGTTTATCAGTAAAATCATTCACATAGCAAAAAATGTCACATAATTTGATAACACCATTAATATTAAAACACACTTCAGGGCATTTATGATGTGTTATTTACAGAACACAACAATAACTTCAATTATTTTATAATCAGAAAGTATGGGAGGAAAAATAATCAATTACCTCTGTGTGATGTGGACAGTGCTAACTCAGTCATTGGTTGATTGTTTTTTGAGTTCAGCACTCACCAAAGCCTAAAAGGGCTTGACTTTAAACATCTTGTTGAGATATCTGTGTCCTTATCACCCAAATGTGAAACAATCTAGCAGTCCATTGGAGGTAGTAGTATATGATATTGTTTAGCGTAATATAATTTAGTTAGCTATACATTACACTTTTAAATCCAGCTACTGGTATATTTAGACCTTTCCTTGTAGTAATAGGTTTAGAAATAATCTAACAAAACCTTGCTCATTTTGCATTTCAGGAATTTCAGGAAATTCCATCAGTTGGAATTTATTGTTTACATTTCTCAGACATCCAGAGTGAAGGTTGTGATCTTAATATTCACCTCTATCCACGAGAAGAGAGTGTTTGGCCAGGAACATTGGACAAAGTGGACAACAGTCAAATTTTTAAGGACAGATTGGGGAGTGGTAGGTCTGAAAATTCTCCACTGAAATTTTCTATGGATACTGACTTGAAATTTCCTTCACCAATGCCAAAGTTGAACAAGGCATTGCTGAACACCGACAGTGACCTTGAAAAGAAGGTTTCAGATGACCTTGACCATAAAGTATCAGGATCAAATGCAGAATTAATTGATGACCATCAGAAATATATAGAAAATCTAATTCATAGCAATGAAGTTATAGGTAAACTAGCTGATCAGCTCATAGATGTCCTTCAAAGGGCAGTCAAGAAGAGGATTTACAATCAGCCTGGCCTGTCTTTAATGACTGATGTCCAAAATTCAGCTGATTGTTTGCCAGATGTCAAGAGGTCACCATGTTCTCAGTGTAAACCTCATCCAGTGTTTTCCAACAAAACAAATGAATCTGGAAAAAATCCTTCAACAGATGAAGACACCAGTACAGAAAGTATTTCAAGTAGAGGAGAGGAGGAGTGTGTAGCTGAAACAAAGACCAGTGTTACATGTGAACAAGAAAATGCAAAAGTTGCCATTTTATTTTCTGGGGGAATAGACTCAGCTGTGATCACTGCACTAGCAGATAGGTAAAAAGTAACTCAGTAATATAGTTTTATCATAATGAAATAAAAAAGTGTGTATCTCCAATAGAATATATTTGAATTGAAATGTGATCAACCTGAAGTAATTAATGCTGAACAAACCTGAAATTATCAACAGCTGTACATGTACTGCATAGTTCTTTGTTGGATGCAAAATACAGGTACAGTAAAACATGTTTATAACGAATCTCTGGGCACCAAGACAATCAGTTCATTATGACACAGTTTGTTATGCACTTGTAAAGAATTGAGGAAAACATCTTGCATGATTCGTTATAAGAAAATTAAAAAAATAATGATACAACTGAAGACAAAATTTTATTTGTTCAAATGACAACAGTGCTTTCCCCACATACAGAAAGACACACAATATTATGTCTCATTTGAAAACATTGAAGATAAGCCCAGATGATGGAATATTTGCATTCCTTTTTTCTATAAACCATTGATATTGAGCATTTCAACAGTTTCATATGTAGCACTTTGATGCTGCTTCCTCCTCTGTGATGAATTTAGGGCCAAGTGCTTTTCCAAAATTTCAGTGCTATTTTTCGAAATTGTACCTAAGTGTTGATGCGAGGATTTCAAACTTAGCTGCAGTTTCCTTTCTTGGTATGGTCCCATGGTCAACTTTGTTGATAATTTGATACTTAGTTTCGAGAGTACAAGCCTTTCTCTTATGAGATGGAGACAACAAAGCCATTTCCAAACTAACAACAACTGAAATAGTATGTGCTGTTTTATCCTTTGATAAAAATAGTTTAGTAACTCCGAACTCTAAATACAATAAAACACTTGAGGTATGTATAACAACAATTCACTCTGTTTATAATTACCTTACCTGTGTTTGGCACTTACCTGGACATGGGTATCAGTAGTTGTATACAAAGGTAGGACACACACTGAGTGGTGGTGTCACTGTGGCATGATGACTCTCCGAGGTCACTAATTAGCGTTTACCTGAACAGATCTGGAATCTGCTTTGTTATAGACATTAATTCGCTATGTGAAAAATCAGTACACTTTTTGAAATTTACATACAAATGATAGGCATCTGTAATGGAATAAACAATGCTACACTATAGCTATAAATACATAAGTGTGTTTGTTATAAACATATTTTACTGTTTAAATTCTTATCCTGTACTTAGTGCAAATATAAAGCAAAAAGAAAGTACCCAAACTTAACATTTACAATGATTAAATAATGTACTATAGATATGGATACTTCACGACAAATATAAGCCCCTTACAAATATTTCTGCAAACATACTAATTTTAATGTTTTTCCTTCCAGATAAATGATTTTTAATTCAATATTTTACCAGGTGTCTGCCAGAGAGTGAGCCTATAGATTTAATGAATGTGGCTTTTGAACAACAAATGAAACCATCAAGGAAAAAAGGGTTAGTGAATGTTCCTATATTACTTAATATATACTTTACCATTCATTATATTTATCATCCTTCTCATGCATTGAAAGTGTTAGTTGCCGGGTATGCAATTATTTCCTTAGTGACACAATGAAAGCATTGCAGTTAGGCAAACCAATAACACAATGGGACCACTACAGTTTGGCAAAACAGTAACACAATGACACTTCTGCAGTTAGGCTAATAGTAATACTTGGCACCACTACAGTTAGGCAAAACAGTAACACAGGTAAATGCATGGTACCACTACAGTTAGGCGAAACAGTAATGCATGGTACCACTAGTTAGGCAAAAGAGTAACATAATGACACCACTACATTGTGGCAAAACAACAAGGCAATAAGACCACTGCAGTGTTGTCAAACTGTAACACAATGCGACCATTTTGTACATCTCAGCTGATCCACTGCAGTCGTACATAAATGAAGATATTGGAACCTTGATAAGGTGTTCTAAATGGCAATGAGACCAAAGAAAATCTTGACTCTTAGAAACTAACAGACCTGCAGATTGTTTGGGTTGACTTTTATGCTCAACCGAATAAAGCCCATCAAATCATTAATGTTTTGTGTCCCAGATAGGATATTATGGCTATTGAATTTATTTTGAAGATTATCAGAAAGATAGTAAAATTTTCATCTTTAGGGCCAGTAATATGAATGATCCCGTAGCTGATGAACAGAGATGGAATGTTCCAGACAGACTTACTGGATACAGTGCCCTTGCAGAACTCAACCCAAGACGTAGATGGAACTTCATACAAGTATGTGTACATCTGATATTGTAGACAGTCAAATTTTCACAAGTTCCCTTTGAAACTGCACCTTACACTACAATTTAGACTAGAACTGCTGTTAATAAGATCCAGGAGAAGAGTTGTTGATACATTTTTTATATGTATATTTCAGGTAAATGTGTCACTTCCAGAACTCCAGCAAATCAGGTAAAAACCCAAATGACATTACTGGTAGTATTTAATTATTTCTCATAATAATGTATGCTTACCCAGCTTAAAGCCTATTTCATCAGTGAATTAAGAGCAACAGTTCAATTCTTGATATTTGGTAAGTAGTACACTGGGAATGAGGGCTGACAAATTTGAGTAAATGAATGACTAAAGCAAATTCCAATGTTACTGAAGTCAGAGTTTAGACTGACCTCATGATATTTGACTAGTATCTCTTTAATGGTTACAGATAACTGCAACTACTTTCAAGGCCACAGATTTAATGTATAAATGGAGTTAAGTATAAACATTTTTGATAATCTGACTTTGGATAATTATGTTTTGATATCAATCTGTTGTTCCATTACAGATCTAATCATGTGCGCCATTTGGTATATCCTTTGGATACAGTGCTTGATGACAGCATTGGTTGTGCTGTATGGTTTGCAGCCAGAGGCCAAGGCATCATAGGAAATGGGGCTCAGCAAGGGTTTCCTTATACCAGTACTGCAAGGGTAAATAAATCTATATATGTCTATTTTAAAACAATTGACAAACATGTTTTATGAGAGTATTCGACAAAACTATGTTGTCAAGCAGGTGACTCTATATCTAGGCCTAAGTGAAAGGCGAATTTGTTACCACTGCATTACACGACCACAGGGTCATATGTACTTTAAAGCATGTAAGTTTCTTGTATTTTAGCTGACAATAATTTTCTCATGAATATAAAGAAAACCTGAATTCACATCTGTTATGTACTTAAATTAAAAAATTTGTAATAATTAATGCCTTTGTGAGCTCTATAGAAACTATCTATTAAACTTGTTTGCCAACTTCACATGATCATACTGTTGTTTATATCTTTTATGACGAGTATGGTGTTATTAAAGTTAAAGAACCTTACATTGAGGCAGTAACGAGCATAGATACGTAAGGCACAGACTTAGATAAAAATGAATCTATATCTAAGTGTTTGTTATAAGTTATGGCAGACCTAATGTAATTGAAAAATATTTGACCTATCTAGACGTAATTTTTTGTGTTACATTTAAGATTTTGTTTTGAATTTTTAAGAAATTGACTTGAATTTTCTTCATTCCTATCAGTCTTCATTATATCCTCTCCAGGTGATACTCTGTGGGATGGGAGCTGATGAACAGCTGGCAGGATACTCCCGGCACAGGGGCAGGTTTAGGTTAGTATACTTACATTATCTAGTGAACTATTCAGGATTTCCATTAAATTCAGTCCTACCATTGATGATCTCAGAATAAAATGATCTGAATTCACCTGATGATTAAGAAATCGGCATGGAAACAATTACAAATTGTGCCTGGAAACATTCATTGTTTTAAAATGAGTTCTTTTGAATTTTTTCTGAATTTTCTGAAAAATTTCTGGAGAGAAGAAGTTTTTAGGTCATCTGACGACCGAAGGGCCTGATGACCTATTTCGATTGCCTTTTGTCTGGCGTCTTCCGTGGTTCGTCGTAAACATTTTCAACTTCTTCTCAAGTTATACATGTCTCATTGAGCTGAAACTTACCTGAAATGATCGTGACATGATCCTGACCAAGTTTGTTAATTTCGGTTTTGTCCGAAATCAAACATGGCCACCATCTTGGAAAAACATTTCCAATTTCTTCTCAAGTTCATAATTTGAAATCTTGTATTTTATGTCAGATGACCGTTTTGGCCCATGGGCCTCTTGTTTCAGAGGGAATTATTTGCTCATGTCATACACATTTGTACTACATTGGAATCATAAACAAAAAATCTATAGTGTTGCCAATTTATACCCGATTTCATCAGGTCATCCTGATATTTCTGATACAACCTGCTCAAATGGTTGAAAATACTAGAATCACCTGATATTTCCTTCCTTTTTATCAGTAGATTAAAGTTTCAAATTCAATTTTTGGATCTAATACATGTATAGTCAAAATAAAAATGTAACATAGAACATCATCTAAATGCATACAGATGTGATAGCAATACAATATGATTGATGATAAGTTCCCCTTACCTGATGAAACTTTAAAACATCCTGTCACCCTTGATTTTGAGAGTCATAACCAGATATTATTTGATACAAGGTTGGGGACAGTGAATCTAGTTATCTGATGTTATATCTGAAGAGAGGATGGATGTTACAGACCTATGACAGATATTAAACGAGGAAAACGATTGATAGATAATAACAGTGATAAGTTTAGCAACCTTATTTGCACTATTGGTACTCATACATCAGATATTTTGTCGTTGCTGACCAATCTTACTTGCTCCTGATTGGTCAAAATTTACATTCATCTGATTTAGATTTGTTATGTTGGTGTATCATGACTCAATGAACACTGATATGACTTGTGTTTTGTGATGGAACAAAAATTACTGTCTCGCATTGGACAAAATTTAGATATTTTCTTATTTTTATCAAATTTAGTGTATACTAATTGTATTTTGACTCTAGGAACCATTAGTATCATTTATGACCTCATGGTTTGTTTAGGGGATTTAATTTAACAGTGATTTGTTATTCGTTTATCTGACTGCCTCTAATTGTATTTTAGTGAGCAGGGATGGCAAGGACTACTGGATGAGGTAGAGCTTGAGATCACCCGCATATCTGCCAGAAACCTTGGTCGGGATGACAGGTATAATGTTGGACCATTTTAGTTAAAGAAAGGTCTACAGCTGAAAGTCCAATTGAAATGACTTACAATTGCTAAGTTCAGATTCTCAGTGTAAGTCTATGAAGACGTGTGATATAAATAGGGCTCAACATGTTGGAGTGATTTTTTTTTATTATCAAAACAAGCCCTGTGCAGGATGTTTTCATGTTAAAGCAGTCCTCGAAAAGATGTTTGTATTTTTCTATTTTGCCTCGACATGGTAAAGGAGCAGTAATGAGACTGATGTGTTCTGTTAGTGAAGAACTGACAATTTTTGTATGCATCTTTGATAGACAATATACTTAACTACCTGAAATGTGTTTTGGATCATTCAGGCAGAATATAAGGGTATGGGTAGGGGGATTTCTGAGGGGAATGTGGTAATTTTCATCAACATTGTGTTTAAAAGCTTAAGATTCTCTCAAAGTATAACTATTAAAGTAGCCAAGATCTATGTATAGCTATATCACTGAGCAGAAAATATACAGTGGAAACATAAGTCTACAATGATAATGATTTGAAGTACTTACTTCATTTCTTAAAGACAAGTTGATATTGGAAATAGTTCATCTTTTAGGATCATCACAGACCACGGTAAAGAGTCCAGATTTCCTTTCCTTGATGAAGAGGTTGTGAAGTTTCTGAGCAGTGTTCCTATGCATTACAAGGTTAGTGGGGGATTACTGCTTACTTAAAGAATAAATATAGGACATGTATTGCACAATTTACACCTGTCATCCTTAAAAATTCTTGTAATTGGTATTTCATGGGCAGTACTGGTTGGGTCTAACCTAAATTCCATACTTAGGTATCCTTTGGTCCCTTGTTGAGCTCTTTTGATTTTTGTACTGATCAGAAAAATAAAATGGCGGTCAGATGGCCATCTTGAATTTGATAATGAAAATGTGCTATCACTATTTCTTCAGAAGTACAGGATGGATCTTTCTCAAGTGGAGGTTCCTCTTGGTCCTTTTTTGTACTATTTTGATTTTAGGACTGGTCGGAGAAGTAAAATGGCTGACATGCAACCATCTTTGCTTTAGACTGAATTTCTTTTTATCACTTTCTAAATTTCATATGTAGGTTCCCCTTGGTCCTACTTTTATCCTTTTGATTTTGGAACTGCTCAGAAAAAAACGAAAAGGTTCATGGTGGCCATCATTGATTTGATAGTTGAAGATCATTAATGCTTTTTATTTAAGTAAATTTTAAAATTTCATACAAGCAATTAAGATCAAATTTTTGAAAAAAAAAAAAAAAATGAAGATCATGTAGTGATGAGTGCAAGGATCCTTTACCAAAATTTAAATATTTTTGCAATCTATACACAACAGAAAAATAGCCCCAATATTTTGGCATTGTCATTGGAGTTGTTTTAGAAATTATGTAGGGACCAGGCAAGTATTTCTTTGTAATTTTATCTAATGGACGTACTTTATCTTCTGGACCACTGATGAACTATAAACATTTCTCATCAACTCTATATAGCCACGACACTACAAGTCGATCAGTGAAATTAATTAGAATAAGCATTTAGTTTAATAATCTAGTATCAGGTGTTTTAAGTTCTAAACGAAATGAATAGTATACTCGCACATTCAACAGTCAACTTGTATTTCTGTTAGTCTGGACCAGTGCCAGTAAATTTTATCAGCTGTTTGGAGAGGCGAGGAATTTTGATTTTGTTCTGTCAGACTATCCAAATGTAGTCCACCAGTATTTAATATATTCATGTAGTAGTGGTTGTATTTTAATGATACTTTGATAAAACTTCACAGGTCTGTTGTAATGGACATACATATAGCAAGATTGAATTTTGTTGAGACCAGTCAAAGTTCAAGGTCTTATTTACAAAATTGTAGGATGACATTAGTATTTTTGAGAGCAAACAAAATCTTCAGGAAAAATAACTTATGATTCCAGTGTTGAGCTTGAAGTCTTTCTCTTACATCTTTAATGTAAACATGTTTTACTGTATGTATAGGCAAATCTGGACTTACCTCGTGGCATCGGTGAGAAGTTACTTCTCAGAGTTTGTGCAGCTAAGCTTGGGCTCCTGTCCACATCTGTGCTGCCTAAACGAGCCATCCAGTTTGGTTCCAGAATAGCAAAGATGGAGAACAACAAAGAAAAGGCAACCGACAAATGTAAACGCCTGGCTGACTGATGATCTCGAGGAATCAAGGATTGATAATAAAATATATTAAATGTTGTTTGTTTCTGTATTGATTTATGGATTTTTGAGTCCTAAGAGGTTCTATTCAATGCCTTATGTACCTGCATTTTGCCGGACTTGAAGAAGATTGATGGCCCTCCATCTCAGCAATCTCTTGATCAAATGTGATATCATTAAGAATTTGGGATGCCATGTTAACGTGTTAGAAATTTGTAACCTTGAAGACAAGGTCATTAACTTTGGCAAACCTGATGGACCTTTAGCTGTCTACAGGTCAAATGCTGCACATTGCTAAGACTTTAAACAAACTGGTTCTCAAGAAGCCAGAATCCATTGTTAAAAAGCTACAATGGTGGAAGAACACGAATGATATCTGTTGAACCATTGCTTCATATATAAAAAACTCCAAAACAAAAATATCTATTTTCAAAACAGGTCTGGTATCATGTATTATATATACCTGTAAGACAACCTGAAGTTGATCTGTTCTAATGGCCTGTATCCAACAGTATTTACTGGTGTGTATCCTTCAACCTTTGCTTTGTTAGGATAAAGATGGTAATGTTTAAACTTTCAAAAGAAGGAACATGAAAATTGGGAAATTTGGAAAATTGATGTGTACTTAAAAGATTCTAACATTCCTTCATATAGAAGATGTCATAATGTTTTATGACGATGTCTATATTTTCATGAATGGGGTATCCCTATATGTCAACAGTAATGAGTGAAATATCAAGTCTCATGAGTAACAGTGTCACAGACAGCTTTATTAATCAAGGCTTTTTCAAGGTGTTCTTTCGGACTGAATCTGGGCCCCGTTCCCAACTGGATTTATTTCATAATACAGTTAAATTCTTATAATTTAGTTTGCTCATTTTAAAATTTCTTTCCCTACTGATAAATATGTTCCCCAAATGAGACAAAATAAAAGTTTCCAAATGAGTAGAAAAAAGCCCTGTAAATATTCATACTTCCAATGTTTGAGTGAATACTTCTCACAAAACGGAATCAGATACATTGTATATGTATCATGATGATCAATCACATGGCTACAAATATTGGTAACAGGGTTTATAAAACGGAGCAGCATGTGATCTCTTCATATAATGGAACACATAAATTTGTGCTATCATTTTGTTACAAACATGAATAAGCACAAATTTTATTTTGAATTTGAATGTGATTTTTGATAACATTTCAGCCAAATAAATGCCAAAGAATGCCAAAGCAGACATTCTTTTCATGCACCAACTTGCTTCTGATGAAAGTCCAACCTCTTTGGAAGAAGCTATAATTGTTAACCTCATCTTTTTTCCTATAAAGATTTCACATAGCAGGGCCATCAGATTAAGACTACCAACATTAATGTTAGCCTGATGAATCCAGTTTGGTAAAATATACTACATACCAGCATTATCACTGGTGATTCATCACAAAAAACCATGGTCACCAGCATAAAAAACTAAAACAACACAATATGTTTGTTCTATTAAAATTTATTTGGTTCCATTTGTATTATTAAGTAGAGGTGTACTGAGGAAATGTATTCTGATACCAAATGTCATGAAAATCAGTATAATGTGCCCAAAGGCCATTAGGGCACCGTTTTACAGTTTGTGGATATAAGTCCTGATGTAGTACAGTACAATTGTGGACATCAATAGAGACAATTACAGATAACAGCTATATATATACTTCTTGTATCTGTAAATCAATTTGTTATGTTTCCTACCTACGCTACAATTGTAATAATATCTATACATCAAGTTACATTGACCAGGAGTACCCCTGTGCATCATATTTAATACACAATTCAACACTGAGCATATACATAGTTACAAATCGGAAAAAATCCTCCAACAATTTTAACTCTCCTCTTCTAATGCATAAATGTATGTAGCATTAATCAGGCATTAAGTCTTGTAAGGAATTTTCTCCTTCATTTTACACTTTAACCAACTATAAAACTACAAATGACTTTACATCTTTGTAGGAGTAGTTAGCTTAAAAGTTATCTATCTACCACTTTTAACCAAAGCAGACCAATTTGTTAATCTAGATCAGACCATCTCTTCATTTCTTTCCAAGTTTTAAATCAAATGTAGTGAAAGGAAGACAAGCGAAAAATGGTTATGTCAGATTTCATAAGCGCTCTCCCTCCTGCAACCACATTAGAATAGTCCCAACTTAGATCTAGATCTGGCCAATTTAGTCTTTTAAGGATAACAGGATTTTGTGTACCAAAGGACACCAAACTACTCTAGGAATGCCATTCATTAAAAATTGTAACAAGAACAAAATCACAGTTTACCGACATCACAGTACCTTCTTCAATTTTATAAACAAAATAATGTGTATTTGAATACACTTCAGTGCAATGACTAAGACGTTGTAATAAACTACAGTACAACACATCTAAAACAGTTACTGACTTATAGAGTATGTACAACAAATAGTCGTAATTCCAAGTTTTACAAAGCCTTCTTCATCAGTGATGGTAGATTTTTAACTCAATTTTTTCTAAATTTGCCACTTGATGAAATATGTATGTTAAAATGTACTAGAATACACAGCACATTTAATTGTAGAAATTTATTTATTTATCAAAATTCAACCTGAACTAATTTCAGACTTTATAAATAATGTGGAATAACTAATAATAATGATGATTATGACAAGGATGGATTTCATACACACAGGTACTTGTTTTTTTCAATCTGTAAATATGCCAAATATTTAAAGGAAGAAATATGGTTGATTTCTCGATATCGACGAGAATTCCAAATGTCTACAATACATACGGTCTGTGTAAGAATTTTTTGCCATGTTCTGTCGGGATGTATCACAATTGTATCTCTTTTTCATTTTTCTGTTTCAGAGATTGATTTGAATTGTTCACAAACTTCAGATTCTATAAATGGAAATTTAATGGAACACAAAGAGTTTGGCAATGTACTAAACAAACTCATAAAATTACAAAATAACAGCACAAAAAGTAACAAGCACCTGTTTGCTAAAATCAGTTAAAATGGTGGATACTTTCCCATAAAATATCCCATAATGCATGATGGTTTGGGACTGATCGACATTCTGTCTCAGTTCTATATTTCTATTGGCAGAGTTAATCACCAACATACCTACCCTTTTGTTGTGTTCCTATCAAAGTTATAAATTAGACAACAAACGGTATGAGTCTTCATAATGTAGTACCAGTACCAAAATTTATGACAAAATCAACATTTTTACATAAATGCAATATCTTGTGTAATTCATCAACAATAAGATCTCAAAAAGCAACTAAATTGTCTCTAAAAGATTGTGTTTCTAACCTAGAAACTTCAGTCTCCTTACAGAGATTATTCCTTTCTGTCTTGCATAGAAATGAGAAATCCTGTCACTTCTATCAATAGCGTGTGTGAACAATGTTTTTATCTCCATCATTAATCAGTTCCAGAAGCATTTTTGTTTTAGAGTCTATTTCCTTATTTCTGCCAAAACATATCCTTTTTGCTTCACACTAACAAGTAATCTGGAAATATCTGAACCATAAAAAACACTTTTCATATAAGTCAATGTTGAATATAATTCAAAATTTTGACACATGAAAAGAATTTAAAAATTTACTTATTTGGTTGCAGCATCTAATGAGAATATAAGTGATTTCCAGGAGAGGAATAAAGAGATGATTCAGAAATGTGGCATATTAATCAGATGAAAATTAAAAACATCTATCTATTTTGTATTCATGAATAGATGGTTCTGACAAGATGTAATGCAGGACACTGATGAAATGACCACTACAGAAGTAATCATTAAGTATAATCAAACTACGTTTTCTATTTATTTTCTTTCATGAAATGTGAAAATTCCATGAAACTCTCTTCTACAAAGATGTATGTAAATATCCCATCTGCAGTATGATTAACCCTCGGATGTGTTTATCACAACTTTACAATTTCCCATGAAATCTACCCAATTTTAAGTGTTGATCTACGTAAACTTTTTCCAGTTCAGGTTAAAGCTTTTTGGAGCTGTATGTTTCATCCATTCAAGGAACCTGAGGTCATATAATGAAAGTAACTTCTTTTCTTGATTTTTTGGTCCATCTGTTCATTGTGTACAATGAAAAAAAAGGAAAGATACACACCTCAATGAATTCATTGGTTCTTCTTTAAAATGTCAATCCGAACTTGTGACAATTTGAGGAAAGAATTCAAATCTGTCAACTAATAAGGGATTTGTTTTTGGTTCAAGGGTAGGTATTGTATCGTGGATTTAGAACTAATGTGCTTCTTAAATGTAGAGCTGAGTGCACTTTGGGTGTAAAAAAACAACAAAAAAATAGAGCTATCAGCAACTTCATCGATGAGTATTTCAACCAATGAGGTAACTTTACAATTGTATTCACAAAATCAGCCATAGTTTGTGGCTCCCAGGATATAAAAAAACACAAATTGTGTATACTCCCTGTGTGCCTCCCATTAGAAAAGCACAACATTATTGTAAAAGATAGACAGCAATATTTTTCTTTTAAGATGCTGGTCTGTATATAGATTTGCCAGTAGACTGGAATGTGGAAAGTATAGTTATACGCCACTAATGTATCCCTTACCAGCTATCAAATTATCATGGTAACTAAATCAAATGCTTATATACATTAATTTACTTCCCGAGCCAGTATTACTGGTTGTCCCATCATAATGGAAGGCAAACAGGTAAATTCCATATAGACCGACAGACATACCATGAAAAAGGATGATTATTTGAGACAGAGGATAATAATACCTGTCATTTAGACCATTTAAGATAACAAATATTGTTCTGGATCAAATCCAGCAAAACTTATTACATCACCATTTTACCCAATACATTTGTAATACCCCATTCATCCCTTTACACTTAATCATTACCCTATTCCTTTGTCCTTTACAACATATTAAGACAAAAATTGAGAGTTGGTGATTTAAATGTTACAAGGAGTAAAATTTATTCACCTATAGTCAATTTTATATTCATAAAGCAAATGACAGTTAAGTAAAAAATAAGTACCCTCTTATAGGTGAAATTTGTATAATATTCCTATTTCAATGCATTCAGATGTTTAAATAAAAATCTAAATATACAGTGCAAGGCTATTTTTAAAATCTGGAATTAACCCTGATGACAATGAAATGAAAATGACAAATGCCTCCAACACTCTTTCATCTTCCATACTTGAGGGTTTTTTTTCGTCCCAATACCCCTTGTCAGAGTAATATCATTGTGACATCTAGTTAACAAAATTTCTCTCATTTTCACACTTATGCATGCTTTGAATATCTCATATAAAAATGTCTTATCTGATAACCCTCTCGTACCAGCACTGTTTCCTTACATACAATTAACATGTATACAAGCACATTTCAAATGCACTTTAGAGCTGTTCAGTCTATTTCAACTATCACTAAGGAACACACACCCATTTAAACCAATCAGGAATGACCATATAACCACTGCAACCAATCAGGACTGTTTACAAGAGGCCAGAAGCCCAGACTTCGCTCGCTTCTTCTTGTGTTTATGCTCTGGAATGGAGTTGTCTTTAATTACTGGTTGGGCATTATTGTTTGCAGTGTCTGAAAAGGTAAAGAAATGCATAAATAAGAATTAGAGATACATTTACTACTATCAACAGCTTGGTTTTTATTTGCTTTGCCCGGATGCCTGTATCACTCACATGGATATTTAAGGATATAATGCAAAACTTTACATTTCTTTAGAAGGAAAACATTTTCCCTGATGAGCCTCATCCCTCAGATACAACTTCAAATTCAGACATCAGTTGTTTATCACTTGATGTCCAGCATCTCAATGGCTTCAAAGATTTAATCTGTGCTGAGGTGGGACCAGACCCCAGGACAGATTATAAGTTATGATTGTTTTATCTCCTGATGCTAAGCAATGCTATAGTTATTCAGTGAGGAAGTGTTTCAAAGAGACAAAGATCCAAATGAACTGATATGAAAACGAACTAAATCTACCTGGGGGTTAGATTTTCCCTATTGGGCCCTACCCCTCAGGCCACAGAATGTTCATCTTTCCCGTAGAAAGCTTTAGACCAAATTTTATTAAAATCTGCTCGGTCGTTCATGAATAATTGCAATATACAGTAAATGTTGACAGATGATGGCCAGACGCGCAGTATCCCTGTAGCTCACTTGACCCTTCGAGCCAGGTAAGCTTACAAAAAAGTAGTTTACACCAACATAGCAACATTAAGTTCGAGATCTAATCCACATTGTTTTTCATTTTAATAGGAATGTCAACGATTACAATATCACTGTCCTGTATCAATTAAATAAGCTGATCTCCTTGCTGTGAGTGTCACAGGTTAGGTGATAGGGTTCCTTGGCCTACTGTATGATAAATATCATCTGGTACCAAGAAGAGTAAATCAATCTTACTTGTAGAGGGAATAGTGTCAGAGAAAATCTGTGAGTCATCATATTCCTCATCATCACTGGGTGTGCCACAGTGTAGGTCCTCCAGATACTGGACCACACTCATGCTCCTGTATACATCCCCCTCCTCTTTAGAAGGGGGAAATGGGACATAGTCCTGTGTCCTTGTATGCTTCTTACATACCCAGCTAGTATAAATGAATATAAAAAAATCATACATTATACAAATCAACAACTGAGAAACTAATCAAGCAATGAAACAACTTTTTTAAGTACATGTGCGAAAAAATCAAATAACCAGTCAGAATAGACTAACTTCATTACATTAACAAGAATCATACATATCAACTTTTATCATGAACCTGTCTTTTTTATTTTCTGAGAAATGGCAGCAAGGCACTTCATCTGTAAACAATTCAAATCTTTTTGAATTAATAACACCCATTCAATTTTCATTAATAAGCTGCATTTTACCAATAAAATCTAGAGAAAATGGGATCAAATTTCACCTGTAAAATCAAAGAGATGACTGCTTGGTAGTCATTTTGCTTCGTCAACCTTTAGATTTACACGGTGTACCAATATGGAGGGATAATATAAGATTTCATCAGGATTCCATTGGAAGATTCTTTCTTCCTTGAGATTAGTAAAACCCTTTCTCAGGGCTTGTTTTCCTGATTTGTTTTAAATTGTAGTTAACACAATTCTTGTATCTATGAGATTATATTTCTGAGAAGTAACACTAAGAATTTCCAGATAGATGGTGTAATAGGTTGATTGAGTGACCAGTACCAAACAACCAACAAAAGTGATTGGAAATAATCATCTGATTTCAGTTGGTTAAATACACCAAGAGGCATTTCCAGTCAGTGACTCTCATCTGTTTTTATACAAATTAATGTTGTCTCCATTACTTACTCATGTTTTTTTATCTGTTGAATCCCTAATCTCTTCTCTGGCTCAACATGAAGCATGCCTGCAACATAAAATCAGACATTATGATAACATTTAAAATGATAGAAACATACAATAAAAAAAATCAATTTTTCTTTTTTCCATTTAGATCTAAGTAGCATTCAACTCCTGAATACTGACCTTTTAAAAGACCTGACAACAGTGAGTCACATGTGTCTGGAATGGTGTATACTCCTTTTCCAATATTTACAAATAATCTATAAATATTGTCACCCTCAAATGGATACAGACCAGTAGCCATGTTGTATCTGAAATTAAATTTTCATGAATTAACGTTTTTGTTAATACACTTCATGCACATGTACTTGCAAAGTGTCAGTTTTAAATGTTTTCAACAGTTTGGCCAAACACAAGAACATTCTAATAATATTTACAAACAAATGCAGGAGCATTGCATGTAATATGGCCTGTTGAAACATTTCTTTGACTTCTATATGTAAACTTTCAAAGATAAAAATTGCAACTAAAACACTCCTCTTGAACTTAAAATTAATCAGACACTTGTATGGTTGAACATGAAAACTGACATCAAGCTATTTGTCACCAGATACTCTGCCATTGATCTCTAATTAATGTGAATCACTGTGGTAAACCAGACATTTATTCAGGTACCTATCATTTGTAATGCAGCTTTTATTGTCAACTTCTTCAAATACACAGGTTATGTATCATCATTACCACCAAATATTTATTTCCTTCTGAGAAGATAAGGGTGCTAATAATGTTATATAATATATAATAACATAAATAATTACACAGTCCACGTCATGAAGAAACCTAAAACTGTCTCATGTAGAAGTATCCATGATCCTGGCTTCTGATACACAAATGAGATGAGGGTAGGTAGTAGTCCTATAACTCATTGTAAATCTCATCAATTCTAAGTCTGCCATTACTTTGCTCCATTTCTGGGAATGTACCACAGAGAAGTTCAACCTGAACCTTTTACAAAAATCTAATGCCTTTGACTCTATATCAAGGATCTAATGCCTTTGACTCTATATCAAGGATCTAATGCCTTTGACCCTATGTCAAGGATCTAATGCCTTTGATCCTATGTCAAGGATCTAATGCCTTTGACCCTATGTCAAGAATCCAATGACTTTACAAACAGAGAGTGGAGCTAGTTTTTGGCAGTATCAAATTAAACATTATTAATCTTTAGTATTAGTACATGTACTATAAATGGTACATAAACTAATACATCAATATACCTATCATACACTAGTACTTAAAAAGAGCTATACAGTTTGGAATAGTAATTCAACATAAGTTTTGAAAAAGTTTGATTCAAAAAGCAAGTTATACATACAATGTAACACCACTAGCCCAAACATCCACTTTGAAGCCAACAAACGTCTCAAGTCCATTAGCAATTTCAGGGGGCTGGAACGCTGGAGACCCTTGGCTAGTTCTACATGTGTCATCCTCGGCAAACATATCCAATTTCTGAAAAAAACCATAAAATACTGGTAACTGAATACTATCTTAAAGGTTAATGTTCAAGTCAGTACTATGAGAAAATACTATTTTCAAGCTCTGAATCGGTGGGACTAGTGAATTTTAAAGATGGAAGTTAGTGGGGTAGGCTAATTACAATACTCAGAAATAAACCTGCATTTTGTCTCAGTGCAATGTACGGCTAGTTGTAGAAATGACAAATGAACCTGACATAAACTCTTTTCATTATTTCTGAAACAATACAGTGTCAGTAACCTCATCTTGGTGAGTCATACAGAAGTAATATCACTGACAGAATTATTATAAAAAGTAGGGCTAGTAAAAACTGTACTTGTTGAAAAAGAAATGTTCAGCTCTGAACTCATCTAACTCAAGAGACATAGGTCAAGGTCAATCATTTGAAGAAAATGGTAGCCCTTCATCAACTTACATTAAATCACCAATATCAACAGTCTGAGAAGAAGTTTTTAATGAAAAAAATTGGTAACCCTTCATCCCAACATGCCACAAACCAAATATCGGCACCCTGGGCCTTTTTCATTTTTGAGAAGTCATTTACAGATTTTGATGTGTTTGACACCTGTGAAAAAAAGTCAATGTCAATAATATGAACCAATTTGGTAGCCCTTCATCTCTGCATGCAACTGGTTAAATATCAGAGCCGTGGGCCTTTCAGTTATCGAGAAGAAGTTGTTTGAAGATTTTGACATGTCTGACACCTGTGACCTTGAAAGTAGGTCAAAGTCAACAATATGAAACAACTTGGAAGCCCATCATCCCAGCATCATATAGGCCCCATATCAGCACCCTGAGCCTTTTGGTTATAGTGAAGAAATTGTTTGAAAATTTTAACATATTTAACCCCTGTGACCAAGGTCATTCATTTTAACAAACTAACTAGCCCTTTATCCCCTCATGCTACAGGCCAAATATCAGCACCCTGGGCATTTTGGTCACTGATGAGAAGAAGGCATTTGAATAGAAATTTAACGCAAGGCACATGACAATAGACAAAACACAATGGCTATAGGTCATCCTGACACTTAGGGTCAGATGACCTAAAAATCCATACAAAGAGATAAAACAGGCTTCTTCTCAAATCTGAGGAATTAAACAAGGCCAATTCTGAAACATGATCTTCATATACACTAGGGCCACTACATTATAGAGTTAGTAATTGTTACTTACCTGAGCAAGCCTAAATGTCACTATGTCACAGACATAAATTTGTAATGTGAAATTTGTTGCATATTCTAAATTTTATATACAAATGACAGGTTGCCTGGCAGGTAGTGAAGAACACTACATTATCCACATGAATTTTTGTGAGCATGTTCATGGAAGGATGTTTTACATGTTAAGTTTGCTAATGTCATTTTAAGTTCAACAATGTTTGGTGCTTGGACCAAACTCCTACCTCTGCCACTCCTAAGTCAGTTATCCTCAATGTCTCGTCTGTGGTCAGAAGCAAGTTACTGGGCTTGATATCTTTGTGTACAATGCCCTGTCCATGCAAATATTCTAGACCATCAATCAGCTGAGAAAAATAGCTGAGGGGAAAAAAACAAAAGAACAAAATTGACACTTATTTATAATGATGCATATGAATTGATCAATTATCTTCAATATTAAATGAGCAGAAATTGCAGTTATGTTTGAACACACCTAATTTCAATGTCTATTAATCGCCGTTTTTATTTTCATTGTGACTATCTATAAAGTAAATCACAATGACATTATTTAACATTAAAATATACTTGCTGTTTACCATGACAGAACTTTAATATCATAATGTTCAACAGTATTCTGATGTTGAGGATGACAAATTTGTAAAATATTCTTGAAGAGATAAAGCGAAACAGTATTATATTTCAACAATAACACAACTGTCAATAAGAGATTTTGCTTCAGCTTTATAAAATAATCAAATTTAAGGTGGCCAAGGTTACATCTTGAAATGGTAATAAATTTGTTAACAGAATGTACAAAGGAGTACTAAGGTTTACACTTACTTGTGTGACTGACATAAAGGGAATTTCTTGTCTTTGGTACTCTCAAGCATCTCCTGAAGTTCACATACACAGTATTCCATAATAAGGTACCTGGGCAATGGTTAAGGTCTATGCATACAATGTGTATGTATGATTATAAAACTTAAGATTGATAACAAGATGTAACATTAACAAATGTCCCCATTTAACTTCCCTGAACTTACAAGTAATCAGTGAATAATTTTTAATCAAATTCTCACAATACCTGCAGCTCATGCATGTGCATTACATGAAGATTTTTGCCATTCTCTGAATAATTCAAATGACTTTATCCAATCAATGACCCAAAGTTCTGTAAAATTTCACTGAATAATCACAATCCTTACCAGGGAAAATATAGATGTTAAACAAAGTCAAATTCACACAATAAGTTTTCAATATGACCTATTTTGCTATGGAGGTGATGTGGTTAAATCATGAATGGCCCATCTCGCATTAATTTTCTTTATATGCCATTCTCAAATAATGATAATGGTTATGGTCAATTTTCATGATCTTATCCCCAATATACCAATGAATTCTGACACAAGCCCATCTTTCCGGTTGAGACACATGTTCGAATTGACATTGGAAAAATTTATCATAACAACATTCTAAAACAATATGCTAAAATGTGTCATCGAAATGTTAAGTGGACAGTAAAAACAATGATGATGATTTTTGCAACATATTCTGATTCACCCTTGTTGGCTTCAATGGAGTTGGTTGGTGATGTCAGAATGTCAATAAAGATTATATCCGTATTCTCAATCCAAGGGTCAACTTCATTTATAATATCACAGGTAAATGAAATCATATCACATGGTACTGTCTCCTTCCTTTCCTTCTAATGAGAATGATACATAAATCCAAATTTTCATTGGAATGAAACACGTACGGACAACTTTGGATGAGTTTCTCATCGTGATCTGATTGACACCTCTCCATGATATCTGTTGTTTTATTGATCTACTTTAGTGAATAAATACCTTAACCATTCTGAGAAAGATATGACAATTTTTGGATATGTACACCAGGTATCAATAGTTGAAAGGAGTGTTTTGATTGGCTAAGTACATGTGAGGGACCATTTCGTACAAAATTATGCATTTCTTATTTGTTGAATTTCATTAATATTGCAATAATAACATCACTGTTAGGTTCAAATTATTTTAGAATGGAGATAGCATGTTGAAACCAAAAATTCATGATCTAATCTCCAGTATATACATAAAAAACAAGCATACTATGTTCTTATTGGAATCCATATGATGGTAGTTTGGTCACAACAGGTAAGTTTGTCTGCATTCCAAGGACTTTGTGCAATTCTTGTATTTCTTTTCAGGTATTTCCTTTTAATTCCCTGTCCCTACAGAGCAAATGTTGTTCATTAAACTTTTTGGAATCTCAGATGATTTGATCTGATGGTTATCAGTCTTCATAAATTTAGTTTATAACAACATTAATTCCTGCATTGACAAGTCTATTACATTTTCATTTCAAGGATACATCTTCTGTTTCTCATCATTAACATGTACGTCGAGGAGGTTGATAACATGACGATGGCAGAGTCTCTTCAGGAATTGTATTTCTCTGCAATTCAAAGCAACATAATAATGTTACTTATGTATTTGATCTCTGAATCTTAAAACAGTTTTACATATGCATCTGATTTTGACATGCTTGATTTCTATTTACCCGTAAGTTTGAATTACCCGATTAAACTGTTACATCACATACATGTTCCTATTATTCATTGTGAGAATAATCTAACAACTGCATGAATTCTATTGATGTGCAATTTTGCATTTGTCAAAATGACATCATCAGGAATGGTTAATTAGCTACAGCTAATAAAGATACAGCAATAGTTTCAGTTATTAGCTGGACAGCTATCGAATGACCAGAGAGACAGTGCATATTGAGTTTATTTTCATGACTTTCGTGTTGGTGAAGTTAGTCCCAAACATTATACCCTTACAAGATTCTTTGCATTATATGTGATGTAATTTAAATAGTGAAGCTCTTCCACTGGTGATCAAGACAATGCATTTTTTTTGCGCGACTTCTCCATCACTTTCCACAACAGTTAATGTTCATTTGATAAGAAAGCAATCACATACCAAGAATTATTTTAGAGCAATAGTTGTTTTGTTTCCCAACATACACACCTTTGAACATTCTGTTCTCCGTTTGGAATCTTTCTCAGTTTTCTCTTTTTTAAGATTTTCACAGCACGTCGACATAACGTCTCCGTGTCAATAGCTTCCTTGACTTTCCCGTAAGACCCTTCGCCTAGCACATCCCCTATCAGATATTTCCCTATCAGTTTTGCCTTCCGCCGGCGAGGCTGATACACGATTTCGTTGGAGTCAACCCGATGGATAATAAATGGCACTTCATCTGGATCTTCCATGATGGACAGGAAAGGATCCATATGGACATGGGGATACTCATCCTCAACAAGCGTCATCGCTTGCGGCACCATGTCTTCATCTGCCATAGCTGCTGGAAATAGGCGAAACTATCCACCGAAAAACTCATTACAACGTTTTTAATTTGACTCTAAGGACTGCAGACTCCATATTGTTTTGTCAAATGGAGGCCACTTCCAGTCACGTGATTCACCGATTTATCAACAAGGGAGACTATTCACTGAAAGCAGACAGAAGTTCTGGGTTACTCAAGACGGGCGTAATAGAGAATTACCATTCCCTGCTCATAGATATGTTAACAAACATCTTCTGATGAAAGGCCGAATGGCTTTATAGCTGACTTACAGCCCGTGAAATAAAATAAATTATGACATACGGCATTCCCTAACCTAACTTCGGATAATTCTTACTGTACATTGGATTTTTGTCCTGTCCAAGTGAAATCTTACCAGTTGGCATAGTGGTCATATTATTTTTATGCTGGTGATGACTCTACGGAGATATAACCGGGGAGCTAATTAAAGTTTAGCAGCAGATGATAGTAAATTACCTAAACGTGTCAGGTTCGGCAATTAGCCTCTGCATGTTGCGTCCATGACATCTGTCATTAAAAATATCCAGTTTCTGCGGAGCTTAGGCTGGATATATATATCTAAGCAGGAAGTAAACTGAATAATCTTACGGTCCTTGATCTAATTGATGTTGTTACTAATATTGGTGAAATAATGATATAAGTTTATAACGATGACAGGCGATATAGATTTAGTAAGATATTAAAAAAGGTGAATATTTCCCTACAAAACAGTCCGACATTTTATATGACATAGGCTTACAGGAGATTAATACGGATTTGGACTTTTCTTTCAATCGCATTGAATGTCCTTCAGTTGCCTCCTAGGCTTCATCCCCCCAGTTAATGTAGGCCCTTAGTAATCACCAAAGAGTCCTAGAAGGACGAAACAGCTGTGTGATGCAGCACTGACATGGATATATTCGTGGATACAGTGGCTGTACTGAATCTAACTTTCAAATAAACACAAAATGTGCAGTTCAATCGTGTAACTATGACCTGGTGTAAGAGACGATACAATCAAGTTATGTCAAATAATCGTTTTAATTATAGTCAGTACATTTTATGAACTTGGCAACACAAGTAACTCAAGTTTTTTTTATCATTTAATCGACAATATGAAACGAGCATTTTTATCACAATAGTATTACTGAAGGATATGACTGAGTTATAAAAAAAAAACTGTAATGGCTTTTACATACAGCACACAGCATCACATTTTAGTTTTGATATGGACAGTGTCGATTTCTGATTTGTCGTTACATTTTATTAAAAAGTTACAGTATTTAATATGCACGTCATACATACGTCAGACAGAAAAAAATGCAAATATAATATATATATATACACACATATATCTTCACATAGATTGTTACTTGACATTCCAGGATGGTATGGGTTTTCTTAAGTATTTAAATTCTGTAGTTGTCTTGACATGGTCAGGGAAAACCTTCCGAATAATAGCAACAAATACTTTGAAATGTCCCCTGGTGACTGAAGAGTTTTTATTCTGGAGATACTGTGATTGTACTTAAAGAGTAAGATGAGGTGGGTGGGTGGGGATGCTGTATGAAATATTGTTAAACAAAGTACAGACTGTTCCATTTCAAATTTTCAAAGTTTAAAGGCTACAAGTCTAATTCTGTTGATGTTCAGGGAAGATTTTTTTTCAAGTAATGAATCATAACTGGAGTTGAATTCTTGATCTGCAAAATTTAAGATATTATCTTTTTCAGGAATCAGTTGTTGTTGAGAAAATTGAATTGAATGAAATTCAAAGGTGAACTTTAACTAGTAAATCATAGATCAGATGGTTACGATACTACTGTGGGGTTTGTTACTCGTTTTACTGGCGATCCTCCACCTCAAGTTCCTTTTTTGGAAATGGATTGCCCCCCTTGAATCATTCTCTTTCACAATATTAACATAAGAATAAAAACTACAAGCACCAAATAGGAGTGTCATTTTTACAGAATCTTGATGATATCGCATGTTCACGTCAGGTCCAGAGTGACATCGTCCATAGACTGTAACGAATGCTCCAGTCCCTGTTTGAGGATGTACACAATTTCAAAACTGAAAGCACATTCATTTGAAAGTTGCATGGTCATACCTCAAATATTGCTTACATTTTATTCTGTGTAATATCATTATAGTGAAGTCAACAGAAAATTCAGTAATTAAAACCATGTTGTCAACAATTTTACTACAGTAATATTAGTATGACTTTGTCAGAAGAATGAGCTTATGGGATCACCCTGTCACCTTTCATTGAATAATGATATCAATTCATTGGCGATATCACCCGTCCATTTTTAATAGATTACCAATAGTCTATTTTGAAGATACCATCAGAGACTAATAAATAGCTATCGGATAACATTCTTCATGCGATCGGCACGGAATGACCGTGATTCGAACCTGTGACCATTCGAACTCTAGACAGATGCTTTGCAAATTGAACAACTTAGTCGCTAATGACCAAACCAATCCAGTTCCATTACGTTCCTCCCTCTTTTTTCTAAGTCTTCGATCCCAATCACAACTATATGCAAACCAGGTTCGGATTTCCCCTATGTCAAGTATTCACCTACATAAATCAAGTGTTGTTCACAGGCACTGGATTGTAATAGCAATGGACAAATCGACCAGACCGGGACACACCGAACTCTTACCGGACACTCTACCAAATGAGCCACCTGGTCGCGGACGATCGACCCAATCAATGTCATTTATTTATTAGCAAGTTATCGTTCATTGCAACTCTTTCAACCAAAACCCATTACTAAAAACAATCTTTGTTAGATCTGGCCAAAGAACCGTTGAGTTTATTCCATATTGCAGAGTCCGTTGACACTCCACACGTCCCAAACTTTTCAATATCTCTTGTTCACGACGCGTAATAGGACTTTTATCCAATTGTCAAAATCATCCTAAAGTGAAAGGCAATGAACAAAGGACCCGGAATCGCCGTAGGCAGAAGGTCGGAGTTCCATATGGTAAATGGAGGTAAATCTTTAAAACAAGTCTTCATATCGTGATACAGGTGGAACTCGAGAATAAGCTTATAATATGTTTTCAAGATGGCGGCCATGACGACCATATTGGATTTCGTTACAACTTGAAAAATGACAACACTTTGGTGATTTCAGTCAAAACCACCTGTTGGATTCAGCTCTAATTTGTTCGACAAAACCATGATTACACATCCTCTTACAAAATGGTCGCCGCGGCTGTTATAGGGATTTTTGGCGTGGTCCAAAAATAAAACATTTTCTGCTGCATTTCTTCAACAGCCTCACCAGTTTTAGCTCAGTTGCACGTGTACTGCTGAAAAAAGACGTTTAAACTGTGTTTTTCAAGATCGTATTGATTTACAAATGGCCACAGAGATAACACCTGATAAGGACTATAAGTATCTCATGTTAATTTTGGGACAGCTTGAGCAAAATCCCACTTGAGGAACTTAAGGAAAAGTTCGAAAACTTGACATATTCAACGACAGAAGATGTTAATTAATTTGGTTGAGAAGTCGGTACACAACTTACGGAGAAGCAATCACTGGCAATGCTACCACAGTAATAGATGGCTGCACGTTGTGTAGTGACGCTTCAACGACAGTAGCATACCATTGAAATGCAATTAATCCAGACATTGAGATAGTTACATTCCGTTTAACACAAACAAAACCAACAGTATCGAACAGATGAGGTGGCGCTAAGCATGTCGAGTTCGAAATACTATTTGCGTTTCACGTCTTCTTAGTCCGATTGGGCGGCTGGGTGGCGCAGTGGTAACACACTTCCTTTGAACCTAAAACTAGCTGTGCACGTGGTTTTATTTCATTATATTTTCGTTAAAACCCTCGCGCGCTTTTTATCCGCACCAACAGAGTTATCAGTGTAAATTGTGAATTGTTTCGCAACCGCCATAAAATAAATAAAGTTTATCTTTTGTCCGATATCGTTGTCAAAAATGTTCGTCTAGAACGGAACAAGATGCGGACTCGGAGCCATCAAGCCCCAGTATATGATGTGGGGCGTGACAATTTGGCGTGGATGGAACCAACATTTTGTGTGTCCATCTCCTGAAAGGAAGACATGACTTGTGACTGGCGAAGGGCGTGTCCTTAAAGACATTTTCTTTCTCTCTCTCCTTTTTTTTTATTTGCTCATTCATTTTATGATGCCGGCGACCGATCCCACAATATCAATACCACTACTGTTGTGGTGTTGAAATAATCTCGCACACCTATTGAGGACCATCTGAATACAATACAAACGATATTGTGTGTGTGTATTTATATATATATATATATATATATATATATATGTAAATTACACCCTGTGAAAGGCCCCCTAAGTCGTGTCTACTGTGAATGGGCCGACATTCCAACCCAGAGTCTATTCACCGAAAACGCCCTTTGCAGGATAATACCCGACTCACCGGTTGGCTGGTTTTGAATGAAGACACGGATCGATGACGCTACGTATAGCACGATCCTCATATTTACACTGACATAATTATCACGGTAGTACAGGAACATCAAGGACATGACGTCTGATCGGGAGAAAATGTGATCATTTGGTTTTTGACGGAAGGAATTCAGACTAAGTAAGTAAATTTTGGATCAAAATTGTGTGCTGTGGATATTCTTTGGCGACTGTGTATTATCCCGTATCATTGGTTACCTGGGTACACAGGTATATCCGTATGTAAACTGTAGCATTAACAGCAAAGGTAGGATACTTCAGTCTACAGTGTTGTACAAATGGAAGTATAACATGTTACATATAATATTAATCAGTCTATTACAGGTAAATTTAAGCTTTAAAGAAAATGTAGCGATATCTGATTTTGGGGTCCAAGAAATATTTCGACATTCATGTACACCTGTTCATGACGTATTATGACACAGGGATAAAAATGTTTGAAAATTGTCATGGTAACCCGAAAGTGTCTTCGGAGTATGTAGTGTCAATTTTTATTGAACTTATTTAAGTATCACATTAAAACTGTTTAAATGAACAACAATACAGGCGACAGCTGTCAATGGTATTCTGACATATATAAAAGATCTAGAATTGATTCCGAGGCCAAGGAGAATTATACGTTTGTGCCGGACAATTTCCGTGTTTTGTGTGTAATGACTGTACAATTTTACGAGGAGACCATTGTAAGGGGAAGAATGGCTAGATATTGGAAATATTATTGATCAACCAGTTCAACATGGTCAGCCACTGCACTGAAAAAAACAGGTAACAATACTCTGTAGGTGTGCCAAGGCACAGAAGTAGGATAGCCATATCCCAATCGAGGTAGATCAAGTGAGGCCATCTACCACTAGTAGCTTCAAACTGTGTGAGGTAAAGAATTAAATCTATTTTACGTACATGTATTACACAATCCTGATACACAGAGAGACTGGTAGGGATTCGTTTTCTATATGACTAAATCAAACTTGAAAGTGTACATATTGGGGAAACTAACACATGGTCACCATGCCTAAAACTGACGCTATACTTAAAGGTGTCTGTTTTACCTAGACACTGTATTTGATGGGTGTCTGTTTTACCTAGACACTGTATTTGATGGGTGTCTGTCTTACCTAGACACTGTTGTTAATGGGTGTCTGTCTAACCTAGACACTGTATTTGATGGGTGTCTGTCTTACCTAGACACTGTATTTGATGGGTGTCTGTCTTACCTAGACACTGTATTTGATGGGTGTCTGTCTTACCTAGACACTGTTTTTAATGGGTGTCTGTCTAACCTAGACACTGTATTTGATGGGTGTCTGTCTTACCTAGACACTGTATTTGATGGGTGTCTGTCTTACCTAGACACTGTATTTGATGGGTGTCTGTCTTAGGTGTCTGTCTTACCTAGAACTAAAACTGTACTTGAGGGCGTGTGCCTTAAATACCTAGAACTGCTTCTAAACTTGAGGATGTCTATCTCACCTAAAACTGACATTGTACTTGAGGATATTTATCACTCTTAGAATTGACACTGTAACTTGAGGGTGTCTGTTTTACCTAGACACTGTAACTTGAGGGTGTCTGCCTTAAATACCTGGGTGGTCGGGTGGCGCAGTGGTAACGCCGACCGGGGTTCGATTCCCGGAACAGACGTGAAAAGGTAAGGGGTCACCTGCCCGACCAACAAGAGTGATTGGTATAAGCTGACATAACTTGTTTCACAATTGTTGTAAAACAAATAAAGTTTATATTTAAATACCTAGAACTGACTCTAGACTTGAGGTGCCTGGTCTATCTGGAACTGACAATATATGAGAGGGTGTCTGTCATACTAAATATTGATATTTGATACATAAGGAGGTCTGTTGTACCTTGGATGTACATTTTTGGAAGGTGGTCGTGTCATTGTACATAAAACTGATATTGAAGTTTAGGATGTTTGTAATGCTCGGGACTGAAATTTTAATTGAGGATGGTGTCACTGTTTCTAGATAATTTAAATTATACTTGAGGATGTCTGTTGGAAGAGGACTAATATACTAGAGTGTGTCTGTCATACATAGAACTGACACTGTTCTTGAGGATTTCTGTCTGAAATCCCTAGAACTGACTCTTTATTTGAGGTTTCTGACCTACCTAGGACCGACACTATATTTGAGGGTGTCTTATTACGTAGAATAGATATTATAATACTTGGAGGTGTCTAACATATGTAGAAATGATGTTATATTTCAGTTTCTTAAGATTTCGTACATACATATCATATATATACACTATTTAAAAGTGTATCTAGATATGTATTTATTCCCATTAGATGGGTCCTGATACCTGCAGCCACGAAAAAAAAAACCCAAGGTGTTCAGGTATCTGGATGTTACCTGACACCTAACTGTTGGTAACATACAGGTACCTATTAGGCAGTGACACAGTTAGATGCCATCTTTAGAATCCAAATCCTGCGTTGGGTCATGTCACAAAGCTTGGCTCAATTTTGACCTGGGTTAACAGCTTTAGAAACTTTCACATGTTAAAATGCATTAAATCAGAACCTAATATATCCTCCATGTTGAAATTTTACTTTTGAATGCCGTCACACCCCTTTTCATTTTAGAAGATTATGATACGTCACCATGAATGGGTAGTATGAAGTCAACCTTGCAGTCATAGGATGAAATAAGCCCGATATGTTTGCTGACAAGACTTCAGCTCTGATTTTATTGCACCTGTCTGCCATTAGGAAGAGTTCTCAGGGCTCTCACACCCCATTTTGGGACTGGGGCCCGGGGCCCATAGAATTGGGAAAAATAACGTTGTTTTCCTTAGAATTGGGAAAACTTGGGGTATAAATTGGGAAAAAAGATACTATTTTACATTGGGAATGTTCGGCCCCAAATCTGGCAGATCGAGAGCCCTGGTTCTGTACTAATTTCTTAATGATAACTTATAGTTGGCACAATTTTTTTAACTTCTGGTTGATATATAATCCCAGAAAGGACTCTCTGACCTTGAGGTATGGATATATATCACATGAGTGTGTTGCAATAGCTGACATAACAATTAGTGTGACAACATACATCACTTTCATTGGTCACGAAAACATTAAGTGGTGCTATACCTCATGTTGATCATTTATTTCCAATCAACATTTTCACTTGGAAATGTTTTTGCACTAGCATTTCATTGTTTGAAGATAAATTAATATAGAAGTGTTATTTTATATAAAAAAAGAACACATACAGGAAAAAATATGTCGGTATGATAATTGAAAACAATATGTAACAATACCAGTGAGTTTCAGGGCTCCAGATGTACTATATGATAGTTAACTTGCTGTTGAAACATTGAACTATTTTTCACACTCTGTTACACATTATGGTCATACATCAGTTGCTATAGAAATTGTACCTATATAAATACCAGATAATTTCTATACTTTACCTGTTTACTTTGTAACTAGTCATCAACATTTTACAGTACATGCTTGCTGAGCATAAAGTTAAGTTGAACACACCCAATTCTAGTTTGAATAAAATTCAAATTATATTACAAAGAACTTGTTTTGCTATTTGAAAGTGCACTGACTTTCTCCAAGTCATCTATAAAATTGAATAACTTAGATAGTCTGATTACAAATATTCCTCTCAATGCTAGATGAGCGAAACACAATAATAGAAATGCATTTATAATAAAGCTGATATATTAAGGTGATGAATCATAACTTGATTTAAATAAGATTTCTGTGTGATATTAAGTTTCGTGTTTATTGAAAGAGATGGTTGTAACAACAGAAGTAATATGTAAAACAGACAAAGTAAGTTTCTTAATGCCTTGACTTTACTTTCCAGTCATTATGTTTGCATCATCATGCTGATCTTAATATTGCGTAAGAACAATAATTTACATTTGAAAGAAGTTTTGATAAAGTACAACATTTTATTTTTGGTTTGAGAAGTGTCTATGTATACATGCTTCATAAATCTGTAATGACTGTTGTATGTATGCAATAGGCTTCGCTCTGTTGATGAAGATTGAAGCATCATCTTACGACGGGGTTATTTATTAGTGTTACTGGCGACAGTTGACAACTTCTGATTTGTAACTGACTTATATATAGAAGATTTATGTTGTCAGAGAATGCTGTCATAGCTAAAACAAATTACTCGTAAATGAGCATTCTTGAGACAGAATTTTTGTTTTGTTTATTGAATATTGGCTCTGGAGTTCAGATTTGATAGGTCATACAGTAGATGTCTGGTGTAAATCTCCTGATAGGTTTATGACTCAAGATTGTACTGAAGACACCACTGAATAGCGCTTTGTATTACAAATTTAGATTTTAATACAGTAGAGTGATTTACATTAAATTAAACTGCATTATGTCATTTCGTCATTCTAGGACTCATCAGTGATACTAAGGGCCTAAATTTTGAAGCCTCGGAGGTGTCTGAAGAAATATAAATTGTGATCGACAGAAATGTGAAAATCTAGATAGGAAAATGCATAAGCTCAATAATTCAATAAATTTTGTAATTTGCATATATACGATAATTTTAGAACAACATCACGTACTTGATCATGTTATTAAGGATATACTGATGTATTACAAACACTTGGTGTAGGTCTGATCTGTAAAGGTGTATTGATTAAATCATGGTTCGGACTGAAAAGAACTGTTTACATTATCGTTTGGCCGCACAAATACATTACACATGTTTCCATTTTTGTATTTATTCATATCTTCTTATGTTCATTAATCCGTATTAGGATAATTCAGCTCTAAGCCATAGCTTACAGTTCAGATTGCTTGACACTGAAAAAATCCCCAAGTATCAAGGATTAAAATTTATGGTATATTACACTAAATCAGACTATAGTACTGGGCATGATAGGTGAGAAAATTTTACCAGAACAGCAAGTCCACATTTATCTTTTTTTTTTGCTGAGCTGTGGCATTAATATGAAAATCAATGTGCTGAACAATTTGTATTTTACCAGTATATGTAGTTGAATGAAATTTTCTATATTTCTTGATTTGTTTACAAATTCTCCATTATATATAAATCCTTTCTGAACAGCCATTTTACAACATTAATGTTGTAATAAGTCCAAGCAATCCTTTGACAGGACCATTCA